CGGCGGCTTTAATCGCCTTTGTTTTAATTAAATTTAATTAAAATGCCCGGCCGCGCGTGGGAGAGCCCTTTGTCCCTGCAGCTGTTCCCAAACCCCCTCCCCGCCGGGTCACGCGCGGCCCGGGTTTGGTGTCGCTCCTCGAGGTCCGGGAATATCAGCAGGGACACGGCCCGGAGGAACGGGGCTGGGAATGGGGTTAGAAACCCGATTTTGGGAAAAAAAAACCGGTTTTGGGGAAAAAAAAACCCGGTTTTTGGAGAAAAAAAAAAAAAAAACCGCTTTGTGGGGAAAAAATAAACCCGCTTTTGGGGCAAAAAAAAACAGTTTTGTGCGGCAAAAACCCCGCTTTGTGGGGCAAAAAAAAAAACCGCTTTTTGGGGAGAAAAAATATCCGCTTCGTGGGGACCCCTCCCCCCCGCTTTTGGGGACAAAAAAACCCGCTTTGGGGGCAAAAAAACCCCGCTTTGTAGGGCAAAAATACCTGCTTTTTGGGGCAAAAAAAATCCCGCTTTTGGGGGCAAAAAACCACGCTTTTGGGGGCAAAAAACCCGCTTTTTAGGGCGAGGAGAGGTGCGGGAGCATCCCCTCCCCGCTTTTTGGGGCCGCAGGAGTTGGAAGCGCAGGTGCGGCTGCCCCTGAGCGCCAGGAAAGGGAATTTTGGCCGAAATGGGCTGGTTCGGCCCCAAAAGGGCAGCGGGGCCGTGCCCGGGGCAGCGGGCGGGGGCCGGGCGGGCACGGGGAAGTGTCGCGCTCCGCTGGAGACCAAGAGGAGGAAACTCCCTCCTGGAGAAGGCGTGGAAAGGTCCCCAGGAGGGCACGGGGCAGCTCTTGAGAAGCGGCTGCCCCAGCAGGCAGCGATTTTGGGGCCGAAACGGGGGGTTTTGGGGGTGGTATCAAGCTACAAACCCTGGGGCGGGGGGCTCCGGCGGCCCCCAGAGCCAGCAGCCCCAAACCAAAGCCCTGTGCCCCAAAGCGGGCTCCGAAGGACCCGCACCCCGGGAGGGGAGGGCGAGAGACGGAGAAGCGCAGCCCCCTCAGTGTCCGTCAAGCTTTATTGGCCAAACCCGTGCTCTCGGTGCTTTTCCGGAGCTGGAAATGCACTTTTCCCCTCCAGGGGATGCAGGAAACGCATCTTCCCCTCCTCGGAGATGCAGGAAATTCACATTCCCCCAATCCTGAGATGCAGGAAATGCACCTTTCCCCTCCAGGGGATGAAGGAAATGCATCTTTCCCCCCGCAGGGGATGCAGGAAATGCATCTTCTGCTCCCTGGGGATGCAGGAAATGCATCTTTCCCCTCCCTGGGGATGCAGGAAAGGCATCTTTCCCCCCCAGGGGATGCAGGAAACGCATCTTCTGCTCCCCGGGGATGCAGGAAATGCATCTTCTGCTCCCCGAGGATGCAGGAAATGCACCTTTCCCTGCAGGACCCGTCCCGGGGAGGGCAGCTCAGGGCACCACGTGCCACCACTTGAAGGCGAAGGGCTTGCGGCGCACGTTGGTGCCGCAGTGCACGTCCCCGGCCAGCACGTGGTAGGAGAAGAAGTCGTCGATGAAGGTGCAGGAGAGGCCCAGCGGCTCCAGCAGCTCCCGCACGCGCTGCTCCAGGCAGCAGCGCCCGCCCACCACGGGCCCGAAGGGCTTGGGGATGCCCAGGTGCCGGCCCAGCACCAGCATGTTCACCTGCAGCGCCGAGATTCCAGCGGGGAGCGGCCCCGGGGGG